TTGGTAAGACTATGATTATACTTACAAGGGAAGTAGGGGATTCCTCATCTGTGTGAGCTGGCCCCAGTGGAATCCTTTTGGCTGCTGCTGCTAGTTATTGTGCCAGGAAAGTAGGAAGCAGGGATTCCACACCCTAGGGTATGAAAACAGAACCCTCACCACACCTTTGATCAGGACAGCACACCAAAAATAACATTAGGGGAAGGACTGCTGTCTTGGCAGGCAAAACAGGCATTCCCCTCCCCCCGCGTTAATGTTTTTAGTACGCAATGGTGACACAATGGTTAAACGGCTTAGTTGCTAATCAAAAGATTGGTGGTTTGAACCATAGGAGAAAGAAGAGGCTGTCTGCTTCCGCAAAGATTTATAACCTTGAAAACTCTATAGGGCAGTTCTACTCTGTCTTATAGAGTCACTATGAGTCAGAATCAACTCAATGATGGTGGCTTTTATATAATTTAAGTATAAAATATATGGCACAAAATTTTTAAAATATAAAAAAGTAGACCATGAAAAGTAAGGGTCTCTCCCACTATGACCTCAGAGCTCTGATTCCTATTTACAGAAGCAATTTTTGTGATCATTTTCTCATGTATTTATTCTTTCAGATGCATTCAATGCCCATATAAGCATTATTATCATTTTTTTTTTTTAACACAGATGGGAATATACTCTTCACATGACTTTGCCCTTTGCTTTTTTTTGCTTAGTATATCTTGGAGTTTGCTTCATGTTGATCTTTGTTACTTTAACCAACACATCACTACAGGCATTTTATCTACTGGGCTTCTCTTTATTGTTTTGCTTCCTTTCTTGCTGTTGAGTACTTCGTTCAAATTGAATTTTGTTAGCCATTGAAGAGAAGAGAAAGACCTCACATTAAGAAAAGCTACACCCAAATATAGTGTACGCTTAAGGAAAGGACTAGTTTTTATCATCTTTTTTCCCCTGAAAATAGGACATCCTTACTCTTGTATTAAAGTAAATGAGCAAGTAACCATGAAGCTTCTGGAATTCACTCCCAGAGTACACTGATGGATTGATTGGTCACAGTCCTCTTCATAAGCAGATCTCTAGAATGAGTTTCTTAACAAAGTAACTATTAAATACGCTGATATTCCATTATGGTAAATTGGGGCATTGGTATCACTAGGTTGATGTCAACCATTGTAATAACTCATGATGTCACACCCACCATTGACCTCCTCCCATAACAGACCATATAAAATCCTTGGTAATGTTTATTATCAATTTTAATAAAAAAATAATATGTGAAAAATATAGTTACAAATTGCTTAAATGCAATATTTCTTAGATTATATGAATACTAACAATAAAATTGTTTCATAAAATTTTTCTACATTGAATTATGTTATTACCTACAACATTTTCAGTAACTGAGTGGAAGTCATTTTTAATTTTTCTCCTTTTCCTTTAATTATTACGTCATTCTCAAAAAAAGTTAATGATATAGGTTCACGAATACTACTTACTACAATATTGTAGCTAAAACACCAGCAAGTTTGACAAAATCAGTGACTATAAAAATACAAGTAGCAATAAAAGCAGCAGTGCAATGCTGTTAGCATACGCAGGTGAAACCATGTGATTTAAAGCATCATTGTAATTAGGTAATAATGATAGCTCTGATTGAAGTGCATGAGAAGGTTCAAAAAGTAAATTAGCATAGAATTTTAGCCTTGTAAGGATACTGATACATGTAAGCTATGAGGTTATGAAAATTTTTTTGTTGTTATAATTAACTACAGGGCTATTTTGTACAAAATAATAAATTTCTGCTGAAACCCTGCACAAAAATTTTATAGACATTCATTTTGTTGTCACCCCCCCTGACAGTGTCACCAGGTTTTGTCTACACTCGCCATACCTAGTGATGTCACTGAATTGGGGATCATTGACTCAAAACAATATAACAAAGTAATGTTCTGTAAAAATTCCCAGGTATGTAGTAGAGCTGACAAGGGACAAGGTTGTAGTCACTTCTTGGCCACAGCCAGTTACCCAGAGGGAGAGAGTAGTTGGATCTGTGGGCTTGGGACCATAGTTGCAGAGGACATCAAGCTCAATTGGCATAACATACTACACAAAACATTGTTCCACATCCTACTTTGGTGAGTAGTGACTGGGATTTTGAAAGCTTGCAAGCAGCCATCTAGATGCAACGATGGGTCTCTCCTTGTCCAGAGCAAACAAGAATGAAGAAAACCAAAGATTCATGGAAACAATTAGTCCAAGCGACTGGTACACCATGTGATCCTCAGCCTATATGACTATGAGACCAGAAGAACTAGATGGTGCCCAATTACCACTGTCAACCATTCAGAGGGGGATCTATGTAGGAGATCATGGACAGAGAGGGAGAACAATGTGGAACAAAACTCAAAATCATTTAAAAAAATAAAAAAAGAGAGAGAGACTGGGTTTGCTGGTCTGATAGAGCCTGATGGAACGACTGAGACTATGGCCCCTAGTTGCCCTTCAGATCTGGAATTGAAGCCACTCCTATGGCTTCCAGCCAAACAAAAGACAGGCATATGAGGTGAACATTTACATTGGGTAGATACACTCCTTGGAGAGAACAATCATGCGAGAATAGAAGGTCTGTGTATGCACAGGGAGACAGCTCAGGGACAGGAGTGCGTGGAGGGAAGGACACAAGGAAGAGGTAACCATGGGGAGGGATTAAGAGGGGAGCTGTTGCATTGTGGGAAATTGTAGTCAATGTCATGAGATAAAGTGCATGTAAACTGCTATATGGAAAGTGAATTTGCTCTGCAAACTTTCACCCAAATCACACTTCAAAACAAAACAAAAATACAAAAAATAATATACCAAAGAATATATTGTCTGGCAGAATTGAAGACAGAACTCAGATGCTTGCATAAAGGAGAAGAATAATCTTAAATAATTTTTTCCAAGATATTAAATTGTTTATTGATTACACATGATAATGGATACATAAGTTTCAATCCCATCTATAATTTTATCTGGTAGCATTATTCAATTTAGATATATTGCATAGGATGTTCCAACAATCATTTTTATAGCCAAATATATTCTATAACTTTGCTTGGGTGACCATTTTAACAGTGAACTCTGTCATAACACAATAACTGTCAGTTCAACTGCGCCAAGGTTTGTGAAGACAAAGGCTTCTGTGCCCCCCAAGCAGTCTTCTAAAGTTTTAAATAAATTTTGAGTGGAACCTGGTGTTACCCTGAAGGAATTCTAAACTTCACACTGTTGGGACAGTTTAGAGTAGACTAACTTTACACAGCACATTTTGAAAAAGACATTTATTCAGCTTCTTGATCAGACTATTACATTTAAGCAATCAACAGCATGGGTGTGTGTGTGTGTGGTGGGGGGGAAACTACATTAAAACCCTTGGTTGAAATGCTTTACACTTTCCACAGAACAGAAACTAAAATAACCTATTATACAATTAGTCACAAATACAGTCCTTGAGTTTTTTTGCCCATACACATGAGTATTTGTCTAAAACATGTCTTTTTTGTAGCAGCTAGTCCCTACTACCAGTGTGCTTGGCTGAGTTCACTAATCTGTTGTAATCTGTAGCTTCCCTCTCACTTCTCCTCTCCTTCTAAGCTTTGTTTCCTGGCAATCATTAAAACCTTTTGCCACTGCCATAGCTACTGCTGCTGCTTGAACCACCATAGCCACCTTGGTTTCATGGTTTGGCAAAGTATTGACCTCCATAAGGGCCAGACCTTCTGCCTCCAAAGTTTCCTCTCTTCATGGGTCCAAATTTGAAGATTCATTGTTGTACCTGCCAAAATCATTGTAGGTTCCACCACCTCCAAAATTGCTTCCATCATTACCAAATCTATTATAACCATCCCCACTGCCTCCATGTCTACCAACATCACGGCTGCCACCAAAGCCACTGCACTCACTGAAGTTTCCTCCACAAACAAAGTGTCATTCCCACCAAAACCACCTCCATGGCCACCACTGAAGTTTCCCCTTTGGCTGGAAGAGACACTGGCCATCTCTTGCTTTGAAAGGGCTTTCCTTACTTCCCAGTTGTGGCCATTCACAATATGGTATTTTTGAATGACAATTTTATCTACAGAGTCGTGGTCATCAAAAGTTACAAAAGCAAAGCCACTCTTCTTGCCATTGCCTCAATCGATCATGATTCAATCACTTTGATTTTCCTATATTGCTCAAAATAATCTCTTAGGTGATGTTCTTCAGTGTCTTCTTTAATGCCACCAACAAAGATCTTTTTCACAGTTAAGTGGGCACCTGGTTCTTGAGATTCTTCCTGGGATACAGCTCTCTTTGGTTCCACAACTCTTCCATCTACCTTGTGTGGCCTTGCTTTCATGGCTGCATCCACCTCCTCCACAGTAGAGTAAGTGACAAATCCAAAGCCTCTGGAGTGCTTGGTGCTTGGGTCTCTCATTACCACACAGTCTGTGAGTGTTCCCCATTGCTCAAAATCGCTCCTCCTACTCTCATCTGTTGTTTCAAAGCTCAGCCCTCCAATGAAGAGTTTCCGCAGCTGTCTGGGTTCTTTAGGAGACTCTGACTTAGACATGATGGCAGTGGGCAGAACAACAACAGCAAAAAAGGCTTTAATGATGCTTCCCCTGCAGAGACCACAGGCAGAGAAGCAGAAGAATAATCTTAAATCTTAAGAGATGTTATAGCAGGATGAGTCACAGTGAAGTGTGGGTCTAAACTTCAAAGAAAAAACAGTCTTTTGTCAAGTTCTCGTGTAGTGCAAAACTCTTTTGGAGTTTCTCTATATGGGCCACTGCATTTTTACTTCATTGGATATGACCTGCCAATTCCATTTGTTATTTTTTTCCCTAAATATATATAT